CAGGATCCACGAGATGAGCTTGCTGCGCACCATGATCGAGCCGACGATCCAGCCCACAAAGTGCATGAGCACAAAGCGGTCCCAGAGCGTCGCTCGGATGTTCGCAAAGTGCGAGTCCGCCCGCTCGGGCGTATACACGCGACAGTCCGTCGCGTACGACGTCTCGGGTAATTGGACGCCAAGCGTCGCGTCGAACACTTTCATGAACTGGCGCGCGTCGTCCGTGCGCAGAAAGAGCAGCACAATCAGCAACATCTCGTAAAGGATAAAGAGGCCGGTCACGAAGCGCCACACGAGCGGATGGGGGCGCACAAAGTGACCGTCGGGGAGCTGGAGGCTGCAATACGTGAGGAAAAAGACGCTGGCGTACTTCAGCCCGCGCTTCACGTCCGTTAGAGCTTGCTCGATAGGGTCCTCTATTCGCACGACAGGGTCGTGAAATGCAGCATAGACGAGCCACAGCATCAGCAAAAAGCCAGCGGTTAGGGTATGGGGACTGCTGATCCACTGGTGCTCATTGCCGTCGTCGACCTCCACGGTCTCCTCGATGCTCCACTTGCGGTTCTCATAGTTGCTTGGGCGCTGGGAGCGACTGGCGGACGCAGGCTTCTCGCTCGCCTCGTCCTGGCGGCGCGCGGCGGCCATTAGAGTCGGCGAAGGCTTTCTGTTTCTAACTAACGTGGTAAAGATCTGTTTGATGCGAGAAACAACGTTTTGTAAAAAGTGAGCGGAAAATAGACGACAGCAAAAAAGCGTGATCGACAGTGCTGAAGCAGAGTGCCAAAACAAGGGTGGTTGGTGTTGTTTGCGGATCGATGTGTCGCTGGCCGGCTGGCGACTGGAATGATTCCTGATCGAGTGCTGTTTTTTTCCTCGTGATTTACAATCTAAGGAAAAAGCGTGGATTATTACTTTCTTTTTCTTCAAGACTTCTTCGATCCGTGCTGCTACCAGCTTCGATAACAAAAGATTCGATGCAAAAGCCCAGTTTCTTGCACTTTCGTATTTATTGATCAGAAATTGCAACGACTGGTCACAAATATACAAAAGCTTTGCATACAGTGGTTGTAAAAATACCATGTCATTTACACCCATTCGTGGTGCATGCAACCTACAAAGCTGTACGGCGAAAAATAAGTATGTACGCCGAACGTGAAGTTCAATTTCACTTACTTACACCGATGGATCAATATCTCTCCTCATTGTAGAGGTCCGAAAGTGTTGTAGTCGAAGGTGAGCAGAACGCTCGTCTTCACTATTGCGGACAGCAGAGGAAATGCATTCTTAAACTTCGCTACATTCCACGATGTTGTAAGCTCATGGATTTTTCAGTGCAAATTTAGCTAGCGAGTCTACGAACTGCCGTGCCAGGCCAAATAATACAAAATGACGCTAGCCTTGACAAGATCTTGTGGACTTGTGATCACTTGTCAATTATTATGTGGCGTATGCCTACGGTCCTCGCTTTGATTTATAGAGTAATTAGTCGCTTCATTCTGCTCCTCCTTTTTAGACGCAAACGCATACAGGCAAAATCAATTCCGTCATGACGTTCGTATCATACATGTGAAAAAAACTTGAGGTCTTCATGTAGTTTGCTCGACTGTACTGCCTTGGGACGGCTGTTTAATGTGCGTCCACATTCATCACGAGTTACGCAAAGAGCTGACACTTCTAGATTCCATAACATGACAGCTCAATACAATCAAACAACCATTGTTGTACGATTGTGGCGATTACGGCGCTAGAGGTGTCAGGACTATTGCAGCTTGTCCAGATTTGCAGTGATCTCTTTGACTTCTTGTTGATAGAAGCTCAGTTGATGGCGCAGTGATCTCTTTGACTTCTTGTTGATAGAAGCTCAGTTGATGGATTTATACTGTGCAACTTCTCGAGATCGTAAATATCGATTATCGCATACTCAGTTTTTTGACGGCTAAGTGCCGTGACCTATAATTTACGATTCGCGAAAAGCCAGCAAATGGAGGATTCGTCGGTGCAAGTATCTATAACATGAATAGCAATGGTGACCTAGTAGGGCTCACCGAACAAGTTGGAGAAGAATCCTGAGTTGACACCAATTGCAACAATGCATCATACGGTGTAGGCATGTTACTCGGAAAGGTTGGTCATGGCTAAGATATAAGACCAAGCTCTTTAGCTTGCTCTTCATATGGATAATTCGGTACTGTAACGGGGTGAATCGTTACATAACAATTTGTAAGAAATTGTTAAAAGAATATAACTATAAGAGTTATTATCTCAGAATATTGTTATAAGGACGAATATTCTGTAGCACTTACGAGTAGTTCCTAATTGGTTGATATAGGCCATTATATCAACCAACGAAGACGCGCCACGACAGACGCACGCAATGAGTGGTGAGCAGATAGTTGATTTACACATTTGTATTTAGACATAGTTAGATGAAGATAAATAGTGATTTATTGCAGACATTAACTATTATAAATACAGTTCTACTTTTTACTTTAACCAAGTACTCGCTTCTTCTTACCGTCTTCCTCTGCACGTACGAGTGGACGTGAAGTTACGAGGCACCGCCTTATTCTGTCATCAGAATAAGTAGCTTGTACTGTCACCAGTACAAGCTTCAGGGTGCCCCGTTACACCTGGTAGCACTTTGTAGTCCGTCCAAGGACCGCGTTCACATCTAACATGAATATGTTGGATGATGAAGATGACCAAAGCTTTCACGCTACGCGTGACGGCTACTCCCATTTGAGCGATGGCGAATGGGATGCGGTTGGACGAATGGGTTCAACCATGGGCATCCATGCTGTTAGAGTCATGCTAGAGGCTCTCAATAGAGATGCCCAACATGCTACTATCGCCAAGTTCATTCAAAATGAACTTAACGCTCAACGCGAGAAAGTAGCCTTGCTTCACCAACAAGGTTCTCAACAAGCAGAGTTGTTGAGAGAACAGGGTGCTCAACAGTTTGAACTGTTGAGACAGCAGCAGGCTGCTGCTGGTGGGTCGATGCACTCGCGTCGACCCGAAACCCTAAAGATTGACATCTCCAAGTATAGGGGAGTCGAAGAGGACTCCCTCTTGAGATGGTTCGTCGAATTGGATGACGCCATAAGGGCGCGTCGCATCGACGACGGGGATATGCAAGTTGCATTTGCCCAATCAAATCTGGCAGGACTTGCCAAGACTTGGGCACTGGGGCTCAAGTGGCAAGACCCATATACGTTTGGATCGTTAGAAGTCTTCAAGTCGCGGCTCAGACAAACGTTTGAACCGCCTAGAGCTGAGTTCAGAGCTCGAACCGAACTCTTGAAGCTCAAACAAGGTAAGCGTGATGTGCACGCTTACGCGCAATATGTACGACATCGCACGAGTTGTATAAGTTCCAATCCGGTGGATGAACACACGTTGATTTCGGTGTTCATGCAGGGTCTTGCGGATGGTCCCGTCAAGACTCACCTGTTCCGGCTTGAACTAGATTCACTAGAACAAGCCATTTCCATTGCGGAACAGGAAGACTTCAGTCTGAGACAGGATCGCGCCAGCTCGACATCATATCGTCAACCGAGACGATATGACAGCGGAGGTCCAGAGCCGATGGAACTCTGTTATGTAGAGAGCGAGAGGGCTCGCTCTACAGGCTACAAGAAGTTGCAGAGATGCAACAGATGTCAAAAGACAGGACACTACGCTTACGGGTGTAGTGCCCCTCGTCCAGTGTCTCGCGACACTGGGCGTAGTGACCTTCCACCCATGAGAAAGGGGCAGGGAAGCGGGTCCGCTTTTGGTGCAAAGACGCAACAACGGGATGGACCGTCAAAAAACGGTCAGGATCAGTAGGTGCGGAGCACCCTACTGGTCCAGCAACGTCAAGAGAATTTGTAGGCCTCTTGATAAAGGTTGCTCCCAACACACAAACGTTGTGCGTTGCTGCTCTGGATAATGAGATCTCACTCATTACCTTGAAACTCGAAGTGACAAATGAGTTGTCCCTTCGAGCTCTAGTCGATTGTAGGGAGTCCAACAATTTTGTGCGACGCCAATCGCCAGAAGATGGTCACTTCAAGTTCAGTGAATGTGACACACCTTCTACGAGGATGACGGTACGTCTTGCGACAGGCGCATCCGTAACCGTCATGAAGCGTATAGTGAAGATCCACTATACGCTAGAAGATACCCAATATGACGATGACTTTATCGTATTGGATTTGGATGACAAATTTGATGTCATTCTTGGAATACTGTGGCTCAGGAGGTACGAACCACGAGTAAACTGGCAACATCGAACAGTAACGATGCCTGCCGCTTGTTCTTCAGTTGGCCATCTGATGAACGTTTTGGAGCGTCCACAAGCGTGTAGATGTACTACGAATGAGTGCGATGGCCTCACTTGTGGTACGGTCGTTAGTACGACTGCACGAAACCTTAGTGTAACAAATAGTAACACTTCGGAGAAAAGTTACGGCGGCTGTGAGGAAACACAGGCTGCACCGAAGGTCCACCGCTCGAATAAGTCGAGTGGACCGGGACAAAGATGTATCCCTAGCGAGGAACATCTAGAAGAGAAACCCATGATCTCTCAGGTTAAGCGAAACGATAATCCTTGATCGACTGGAGAGTCTTTCGTAGAGGATCTCGCTGTGGTTGCGCAACCACAGTTAGAGGAAGTTAAGGGAATGAGTCCCGATATTGCAAATACGGCGGAAATAAGTTCCCTGAAACCCGCGGGAATAAGTCCCCGGGAAGCCGAAGGAATAAGTCCTTCGAAGCCTGAGGGAATAAGTCCCCAGGAAATGACAGAGACATTAAATGTCATAGTCAATAACGGATCAAGTGTAGGCGCTTATACACTTGATCTGATTGCGCCTCCGAAGTTGACTTCGGAGATCACTCAGTTGCCAACGCTCGAACATAAAAGGTTCTTGCGTGATCTGCGTAGTGGCAAAGTCAAGCAGATCTGCGTACTCGTCGCTGACGACGAGTGTGTAGCCGACATAAGGTCAGCAACAATGTTTACTGAGAACGAGAGAGTTCTCAGTAGTTCATCTATGGACGAGAGTGTCCTAGATGAAAAGACACGAATTGAGAGATATGACTCCCAATCGTGGGAATCGCTCAAGACAAATCCTCTCTATGAAGATTTGGTTGAATTCAAGGATGAATTCCCTGAAACTGTTCCGTACGAATTACCGAAGGATAAAGGTATTCGACACGAGGTCGAGCTTAAACCAGGCTCGAAGTACTGTGTCATGAAGCAGTGGCCACTGCCTCATGAACAAGTACTTGCGATCGACAAGTTCTTTGCCTATCGTTTAGCTGCGGGCCATGTGAGGGAATCAACTTCCCCACATAGCTCTCCGACCTTCTGTGTGCGAAAAGCAACAGGAGGGTGGCGGATAGTGCATGCATTCAACAAGTTGAATGCTGCAACGGTACCGGCTCAGACGCCGATACCGAGGAAGGACGTAATCATTGATGGTATGTCAAAGAGTACCATCTTTTCGTCCATGGATTTGATGGATGGCTTCTATCAAATCCTTATGCGAGATCGGGATATACCCTACACCGCAGTGAGCAATCCGAGCGGCATGCTTTGGTAATGGCTAGTAATGCCACAAGGACTTAGTAATGCCCCTGCCACGTTCAACAGATGTGTATCACATCTGTTGAGACCAGTACGAGAATTCGCGCCGAGTTATTTCGATGACGTTTTCATCCATAGTCGGGCTATGGATGGAAAGTCGGATGTTGAGGTTCACAGGTACCACGTCCGACAGTTTCTTACAATCATGCGAAAGCATCAATTGTATGCTAACCTCAAGAAGTGTATGTTTGCAGCAAGCGAAATGCCACTTCTTGGGTGCATCGTTGGTAAGAACGGTGTACGTTCTGATCCCGAAAAGATCAAGGCGATCACCGACTGGCCTGTGCCAGTCGACGTCAAGGGTCTTCGAAAATTCCTTGGACTAGCGGCGTATTTGCATAAGTATTCACGCAATTACGCCGAGATGACTGTACACCTCTCTCGTTCGTTAAAAAAGAACGAGAGGTGGTTTTGGAACGCTGAATGTCAGCGCTTCTTTGATGGTATCAAGCAGAGCTTGATACAATCCCCAGTCCTAGCAATATCCGATCAGGACAGGCCATTTCATGTGGTCTGTGATGCCAGCGATTTTGCAATCGGCTGTGCATTAATGCAGTACGATCTTGAAGGCGTTGAACGCGTCGTCTGCTATCAGTCGCGTCAGCTGCAACCAGCTGAGCGGAACTATCCAGTGCATGACAAGGAACTCCTTGCCATGAAGTATGCACTCGTGAAGTTCGGAGTCTATCTATTAGGAGATAGACCCTTCATTGTTTACACTGACCATGCGTCATTACGCACGGCAGTGAACAGCCCGCACCTTTCACAACGAATGGCGCGGTGGTTGCCATTCTTTGCAGAATACAACTTTACGGTCGAGTACAAACCAGGACGACTTAATGTCGACGCTGATGTACTCTCACGTCGTCCCGACTTTGAACCAGTTGTGAAACCCAACAGTGAGACAGTCACTGTTGCGGTTATGACGTCCTCAGTACCATCTTCAACGTTGCATGATGATGTGAGGCGGGCATATGCCCAAGATAATGAGATTGTGAAGCTGATGACACATCTCTCCCAACCATCCCGAGAATCGTTGAAACAATTGTCGCCTGCGTATCGATCTGCATCAGATCGATACACTACTCGCAACGGGTTACTGTATTATACATCCGTTTCTGGTGACACACCACGTGTTGTCATTCCAGAAGATACTGATCTGCGTTTGCGGATCATGTTCGAGTATCACGATGCTCCTATAGGAGGACATCGTGGCCGTGAGAAAACATATCTCACGCTAAGTCGAGACTTTTACTGGCCCCGCCAGTATCAGTTTGTGCGAAAGTATGTTCGCGCATGCGAAGTCTGTCAACGAGTGAAGTCAAGTCCTTCACTGCGTGCACCTTTACAGCCTCTACCGGTTCCGGCTGAGTGCTGGGAATCCATCTCAATGGATTTCGTCTTCGGGTTACTCAAAGACGCACGCGGGAATACGGGTATTCTCGTATTTGTTGACAGATTCAGTAAAATGGTACACCTTGTGGCTGTACCAGAGTCAATCACGGCAAGTGGCTGTGCTTGTGTCTTTATTGACACCATCTTCCGACTTCATGGGTTGCCCCGTGAACTCGTATCAGACAGAGATCCACGCTTCACTGCTGATTTCTGGCGTTCCGTGTTCAAATCACTCGGAACGCGCTTGAAGATGTCTACATCTGATCATCCAGAGTCAGATGGTCAGACGGAACGTGCCAATCGCGTCATAGAAGAGATAATTCGAGGATACGTACACTCCTTTAAGAGTTGGAGTGCGTTTTTGCCAATGGTAGAGTTTGCCATTAACAACTCGGTGCATGCTTCTACGACACATACACCGTTTTACGTGAACGGCTTGCGCCATCTGCGTGCACCCACCTTACTCAAGTGTAACTCTGGTTTAAGGAGGGAAGAGACTCGCGCGAGCAAAAACTGAATTGGCTCACACTCATCACGCTCTGACGATAAGGTCATTGCGTTTGATGCCGATATCGACAACATAGATATCGAAGAAGATGATGCCAGTGAGAGTGCGGAAGCCCTCACTGAAGAAAAGATTGTTGTCGCTGCAGTGCAATCACAGCGCACTGAAGCTAACGAGCCAGCAGATGAGTTCATACTGGCTCGTGAAACGGTAGTCTGTTTTGTGCAAGACTCCATCGCCGAAGCGGTGGATAAGCAAAAGCAAAACGCTGACAAGAATGGAAGGGCAAACACTCTTTTATTCAATAAAGGAGACTTAGTCCTACTGTCTACGGTTAATATACCAAAGCATGTAGTGACTAACTTGGGTAGCAGTGAACTACTACCCAAGTACATCGGCCCATTTCGTGTATTGCACCGCCTAGGCAATGCATACACGATCGAGTTGCCACGTAAGATGCGAACGCATCCCACGTTTTACGTTGGTCGGCTTAAGCCGTACCATCAGTACGCTGCTTCTTCCGATGAAGAACGCCCTTGCGCTCAAGCATCTCGCAGAGAGCCTTGTGCTCCCGATGGTGGGCATCAACAAGGGTCTGAAGAGCAGCTATCTCATCCCGAGACCGATCAACAATCCCACGAGCTACCCTTAGCTCGTCACGAAGAGATGTCAGAGCTCTCTCGTTCTCAAGCTGAGCAAAGGCAAACTCAGCTCGATGCTTCGAGACAGTGTCCGCCATTTGGAGACGCCTGTCCCGCTCATGTTCGAGATCGTCGCGTAACCCTTGCGTTACGCGATCAAAGAAGCTCTCGGGAACACACGGATCCCGACGATCGTGTGGAGAGCGTCTTTCCTCCTCCTCCACCTCCATTAGAGGACTCTCGCGGTGACCAGCGGTATCTGGTTGAGCAGCTGTTGAACCACCGCGACGTGAACGGACGTCGGACGAGTTATCTCGTCCGGTGGCGCGGCTATCCCCCGTCCTGGGATTCTTGGGAGCCCCGCTCCCAACTGATGATCGACGTACTGGGTCTGATTGAGCAGTACGACGCGGCACATCCTGTGCCGCAGAAGGACCGCCGGAGAAAGTCTTCCCGGCACGGTCGTAAAGGGATTTCAGGTTGTCAATCCCTTCGTACATCTCACTATAGATACGTACGCGCCACCACGGGCTATTAGGGAGGTAAGCCTCCTTAGGTGCTCGTGCAGAGTTGTTCACACAACACGGGCACGAGTCTCCCCAAGAGAGGCAGGTTAATCCTTTCTCCTTAGACAGACGATGCAGCTTGTAGCGTGCACCTGTTGGGGTTCGCTTTTCAAACTTATCACGAGCTTTGATAAGTTTGTCGTTCCAAGCGTCACGACCTACATCCTCGAGGTTATGGATGTAGGCGTTCCACGCTTGAAGCAGTGAGGGACCATCACGTTTGTGATTCCCACTGTACCATCGATGTTTGAAGAAAACATCGATGAAGAATTCATGCTCAGCGCGATAGTCCTTCGCACTGGGGTCAAGGTGATGGATCCTTGACGAATCGAACAACCGTGTTCGATAACGATCACTCGTCGTCGCCGACAAGTGATCCATGACGAATTTAGGAGGCATCCATGCCTTCTTTTCGGGAGCGAGACGCAATACACTGCGGTCCCGCTCTTCCTGCCATGTGCCGACAGAAGTACTGGCACCTCGTTGCGAAGTAGTGTCAATAGGAGAACCGACACCACTGCGAGCGCCCGAGTCTCGCGATATCGAGCGCCTTCGCTTCGGCGATGGTTCATCTGATTCATCAGATGAACCAAAGATGCTACGACGCAAAGCATCATCCATGCCACGCTTGGCAGGCGGCTTAGATTTGATCGCCGTCGATACGGATCCGTCTTCCGTATCAGGAGAGTACGAGACACCGAGCTCGTACTCTGTGAAGACATGAGTGTCTTCATGACCAGCGCCTGTATCACCAAGTGAAACAGGCTGAGTCGCTTCAGCAACCGATGAGACGTCAGTTGCTGTGGTTTCTGCTTCGGCGTCCGCACAGAGACGTGCGGACGCGCTCTCGGCGGCCTTGCTCGCGCATCGCATGGGCTTGTTAACCATGCGATGAAATGTTGGAAAGTGGACTCGGACCAACAAGTGCAAACCCTGTCCCAAACGATTTGGGACGAGTATTCATTTAGTCAATCAGTCACTAAAGTGACTGATGGTTAAGGGGGGGGTGATGTAACGGGGTGAATCGTTACATAACAATTTATAAGAAATTGTTAATAGAATATAACTATCAGAGTTATTATCTCAGAATATTGTTATAAGGACGAATATTCTGTAGCACTTACGAGTAGTTCCTAATTGGTTGATATAGGCCATTATATCAACCAACGAAGACGCGCCACGACAGACGCACGCAATGAGTGGTGAGCAGATAGTTGATTTACACATTTGTATTTAGACATAGTTAGATGAAGATAAATAGTGATTTATTGCAGACATTAACTATTATAAATACAGTTCTACTTTTTACTTTAACCAAGTACTCGCTTCTTCTTACCGTCTTCCTCTGCACGTACGAGTGTACGTGAAGTTCCGAGGCACCGCCTTATTCTGTCGTCAGAAATAGTAGCTTGTACTGTCATCAGTACAAGCTTCAGGGTGCCCCGTTACAAGTACAGAGAACTGAATCAGGTTCCTTAACTTCACCTACATCTTCCGGGTGGTTGACGGCTAGGGAATGCGTTGTGTAATGACAAATGAAAGTGACAATGCATCGTTGTTCGTTTTAGCTACGCATCGGTGTAGTTAATGTTTAATTATACAAGCATGGGAAACGGTAAGCCGCGCAGGTATGTACAGCTCTTGTTCAAATGCTTTTGCAGGATAGTGCGAATTGCACCCAGAATAGTTCTGCATCAATTTTGTTGCCGCCCTCACTCGTGCGCACACGCACTTCTTAGCTTCATGGCACACACCATGTCCTTGACTATGGCCCATTTGCTAGCATAGACCACGTTCACTAAAGGACGATCCGAATTAAAATGTTTAAGAATTGGAGTCTTAGCGATCT